TTGGCCTATCCAATTCTTTTCCAACAAGATAATCTTCCATCATCATTTTCCATATTAGCCAACTGCTTTGATTTTTTTCAAATTCCATTACCCTTTCAATTTTAAGGAAAATACAACAAATAACGAGAATAGAAAAAACCTTTTCTTCACAGACATAATGGAGAACAAACCCTAGGCACTGATACCAATTGTTGGGATCGATTGGTGAAAAATCAGCAAGAGTTTATAACATTCATAGCTATTGTACATTCATATCAAAATAAACAAACAATGGTAACTACACAATATTAAAGCAAGAACATAGAATGAAAAATCCAACAACTTGTATTCACAAAGCACAACAATTTAACGTAGTTTGGTCACAAATTGTGACCTATGTCAATGAGAGAATGGTGTGAGACTTTACTTACTGATTTGGGAAGATTACAAGTGAAATCGAGCTCAAAGTATCAATTTCCAGCAGCCCTTTCTCACTTTAAACAGGACCCAAAAACAAGGCACCAAGAACACCAAAAAATGGGTTCTCTTTGATACTTTCTCTCACTAAAATAGGACACAGAGCAAACCCACAATGGGATCAAGCTTTTGCTCACTTTCTCTATCTAAAATTAAGCATACAACAACTCTCAATAGAAAACCCAATTGCAGCCCAATCTCTCTATTTTTTTTTCATTCTTTCTCTCTCTAAACAAAAGGGTTTAAATCATTTTAAAAGAGTAAAGTTCCTACAACACCACAACCATTTGACTAGATGTCATCCAATTGCCCAAAATAAAAGAGATAAAAGTCAAATAAAACACCCACATGTGTGATTTGTTTTCACACATGTAACAAAATTATCTGCCAAAGTTGTGAAACGTTGTTTTCTGAGGTATCCTGATGCTCAAAAAGGGTATAGGTGCTATGATCCAGTAACCAAGAGACTTCGACTATCTAGACATGTATTTTCTTAATGCATCTCGTTTTACTCGATATCTACTATGACCAACTCTTACTCTGATTTGTCTTTTCTTATCCCATTTTATGTCAATGATTCATCACTCTCTGCTCCTTAGCTATTGGACTTTACCTCTGAAACCAATTACCAAGAGGAAGATCATTTAATTACTGCCACATATCCTATTCAAGCACCCATACTTGCTGATCTTGCACCTACATATGTTGTGCGTCATAATACTCATGTCTCTATTCTACCTTCTCGATTTGCTGATTATGAAACTTCTTAATGGACATCGAGCCTTTCTTGCCTCCATTCACTCTTATTCTAAGCCACAAACATCTAAAGAAGCTGCTAATCAGATGGAATGGCAACATGCAATAAAGATGAACATAGTGCTCTTGATCTAATGCATGTTTGGGACCTTATCCCTCTTCCAAAAGGAAATAACATAATTGATTATTGATGGGTTTGCAAAATCAAAACCAAAGCAGATGGAAGCATTGAAAGCTATTAAGCTCGTGTAGTAGCAAAATGATACAATCAGCAATATGGAATTGACTTTGCGAAAACTTCTTCCCTAATAGCCCATATGACAACTGTTCAGACACTTATTTCTGTCGCAGCTGTTCAACAATGCCCTTTATATCAGCTAGATATCAAAAATGCATTCCCAAACAAGCACCGCGTGTTTGGTTTGAAAATTTTCGTAATACAATCGTGTCAACATGAATTCGACAAAGCCATTATGTTCCAGCCCTATTTGTGTCTAATATTTCTTCTGATTGAGCACTTTTGTTACTTTATGTAGATGATATGATAATACCTGGTGATGATTAGGGCACTATTCATAAGATCAAACAAAAACTCAATCAAAGACTTGAAATGAAAGACTTGGAGTTCTGGGGTTACTTTCTTGGCTTAGAAATCGCTTATTCTCCCCGCAGCTATTTGTTATCTCAACACAAGTATGCCTCATAAGTTGTCTTCCAAGCTTGCCTCATGGATGATACTAAAAGAGTTGACACTCCCACTGAATTGAATATCAAACTTGGGGCAATAGATGGTGAACTAATCCCAGATCCGACCTTTTACTGTCAATTGGTTGGGAAATTGATATATTTGACTATTTCTCATCACGATATCGCTTATGTTATACATCTAGTTAGCCAATTCCTAAATGCCCCTCGGTCTGTCCACTTAGCTGCAGTCTTACAGATTATTCGTTATGTCAGGGATAATCGACACCAAGCTTTGTTTTTCTGTTCTACTTCCTCACTTGGACTGCGGGCATACACATATTTGGATTTTGCAGGGAACCCAGGTGATCGCAAATCAACTACAAGATTTTACATTTTTCTAGGTACTCTCTTTTGACTTGGAAAAGTAAGAAACAGAAACGTATTGTCCAATCTACAACATAAGCCGAATATAGGGCTATGACACAAACTACAAATGAAATTGTTTACCTTCGATGGTTACTTGCAAACATGGGGTGTTATCAATGCTACTCCCACACCATCTATATTTTCAAAAATCCAGAGTTCCATGAACACACCAAGCATATTGAAATTGACTGTCCTTTTGTCCAGGAAGAATATTTAGCAGGCACAATTTATCTTCCATATATTGCCTCCTCAGAGCAGTTGGCTGACTTCTTCACCGAAAACACATACTGCAGCTCAATACTCTCGGTTTCTCTCCAAACTCTCCATGATTCCAAACTATCTCGAGTTTGAGGACGAATGTGAATTAATAGAAACTTGTATGTATTTTGTGAATAATATCTTCTTTCCTTTTTTTGTGTACCCACATTAAGAAGGTACATTCATTCATACGTTTTTTACACGATTTGTAACCCTATAAGTTAGGGGCCTAGTAACCACGTCATGCTGTTGTGGGAAGCAACTAGTTCTTAATCTTTATCCGGTTCGATGCTAGCTGCACGGCCCTTTGCCAGTTTATAGCGCTTGACTCTCTTTAATATAGAGTCGAAGGACAAGGGCATGTCCCCTTTGCTAAAGAATGTCTTGTATTCCTGTATGACATTTTCAATAGTGAAATTAATCCTCAGGATCAAAGAGCAAACACTCAATGAGGCGAGAAGAGCTCTCTTCAAACCTGTCCGTGTACTTGTTTAAGGATTCATTGGGTCTTTTGCCTTATGGTTGTTAATTCGCCAAAAGAAATCGGCTTTGGTCTTGCCCCATGACAGTGTTTGATGAATTGCTAGAACATCTCATTATGGGTTAAGTCTAGATGAGTTCTCATTATCCCATAATGGGTTAAGTCTAGATGATTTCTCATTATCCCATAAGAGGCTCACCTCTGAGGGTATACAAAAACATAGCCTTAAGGAGGTTAGGCCTGCAGCGCAGAGTCAACACAAAAAAGCTGTAGGCTTGAACATGCGTGTCCAGGTCTCCTCAAGTAAATATCTCCTCCTTTTTTTTTTAGTTTATTTTCCTTCAGTTAATTTATAGATCTGAGTTTTGAAAATTAAATTGGTGTGAAAACTCATTTGGCACTGCTGGCGGTTCTAAAAGAGGTCAGATCTGTTCAAATCTGAATTTGTTTTAGACCTGTAATTAGATCAGTCTCACTTTATTTACTAATCTAAAATCTCTTAACCATTTGCGCACAAGTTGAGGAGATTTCTTCCAAACTCTCATTAGATTTGGCGCATAAAAAATAGTTTTTTCCTCATTATTTGAAGTAATTTACGCCACAATAAAATTAATATATTTTCAGATATTCTTCAAATATATGTTTTTATAAATATATTATTAATATTTTAATGAATGCATACCCTTTGTGATAAAACAAATTAATTCTAGTTTAATAGTAGATATGTTGTAAGCTCTCCTCTACACTTTTGAGAGAATTTAGAATTTGTTTGAAGTTAAAGAGAAAGATGGGCACATGAAAGTTTGACAAGAAAATATTTACGTGCAAAATATTCATGCAAACAATTTGCAGGAAGAAATTACTCCGGCATGCTTTATCCCATGTAGGGTAAACACAGTTTGAAACAGGCAGATAGAGAAAACACAAACTTGATATTTTGAGATAATTTGTCTTCAGAAAATTTGAAATTGTTTCTCTCTAAATATTGCAATAGCTTCTCTCTCTAGATACTTTGAGATAGTTTATCTTTAAATATTGAGATAATTTCTCCTTAATAATTTTCAAGTAGTTTCTCTCTCTCAAATTTGATGTAATTTCTCTCTCTAAAATTTTAAAATACTCTCTTTAAAACTTAAAATTTGGTATAATTTTTGTCGAAAACCATCTCTCTCTAAATACTTTGAGATAATTTCTCTTTAAATATTGAGATAGTTTCTCCCTAATAATTTTCAAGTAGTTTCTCTCTCTAAAATTTGATGTAATTTCTCTCTATAAAATTTTAAGATACTCTCTTTAAAACTTAAAATTTGGAATAATTTTTGTCTAAAACCATTTGAGATAGTTTCTATCTAATTTTGAGATATTTTCTCTCTCTGGAAATAAAGCGGTAGTTTCTCTCTAGAATAATTTTTTGTACTCTCTCTAAAATTTGATATAATTTATCTTTAAAACTTTAATATACTTTTTCACTCTAAAACTTAAAATTTGAAAGTTTCTCACTAAAAATTTTGAAATATTTTCTTTTAAAATTCAAGTATTTTCTCTCTCTAAATTTGATATAATTTCTTTTCAAATTTGAGATATTTTTTCTCTCTTAAACTTAAAATTTGAGATAGTTGTTCTCTAAAATATTTTAAGTATTTTTTCTCTTTAAAACTAGATATAGTTTCTCTTTCAAATTTCAAGATCTAAAACTTAAAATTTGAGATAGTTTCTCTCTCCAATTATTCGAGGTATTTCAACGGAATTAATTGTATTTGATAAAGTGGGCAATTCCATTGTATGAAAATAAAATGAACCCGCAGTAATATTTCCCCACCTCAATAGATGTGGTTCTATTTTCACATGAATTGACCAATTTGTGGTAAAATATTTTACCATGGGAAAAATCTTCACATGTATTTGTTGTGTAGCAAACACGCCTAAGGTGATTTTCACATGAAAATGTTTCGTATGAAAAAAATTCCATGCCTTCCATACCTACCAAACGTGCCATTAGACATTGAGAGTAGACTGCCCTTAGAGATAATGAGGATTTATGTTCATGAAGAAAAAAAATTCATAAAGAAGACTTCTAAATTCAAACTCCTATTTAATCTTCTAGTAACATAAGATGTGATATACAATCAACGTGGAAATCAAGGATCCTTCCCAAAACCCATCATCACATGGATTCCAAGCATGGCACTCTTCCGCATCATCTCTGCAAGGCGCCCAACCAGTGGAAAGCCCACTGTTTCCCTATTCCACAATGGTTTCTTGTTCCACCTGAAAAATAGGCCATAAAAAGATCATTCCCATTACGAAACCACTATCTACTATTCATTTATATATGTATGCCGATATGAAAGATTATATTGTGACAACTACTGGGTAGGCCATAAAAAGAACATTCCCATTACAAAACCACTATCTACCATTCATTTATATATGTATGCCGATATGAAAGATTACATTGTGACAACTACTGGGTAATACATGTACATGTAACATGGTGAATGGTTCTTAGGATCTTTCTACTGGCCCACACTTGAGTGGCCCCATAATGGTATAAGAAAATAACAATGCTATAGGGACCCAAATCATCCCCTATATGAAGCATTCCTCGTACGTATATATTTCATTTCATATTAGCATTATCCATATAAATATTATGCCAAATTGTAGGTATAAGCTCAGAAGAAGATGATGATGATGATACCCATGTAAATATCAGGGTAAGCTCAATAGGTAGGACAACCAAGTAAACATCTGAGATGATTGGAAAAGTTCATTACCAGAATGGCTATTCACTGACACCATGAACAATCTAAAAACATTACATCTTTGAAGAATAAAGGAATATAATAAGATATTAGCCGTTCAAATTGCCATTTGGGAGTTTGGTTTTGACTTTGGTAAGACCAAAATTACAGGTGGCACCCATTTTTTAGCAAAATGAACACATTTGAGATTTTGAGCACTCATCAATTGAATGTTAGGATTTAGGATGTATACCTAACCGGCTAGAAACAAAATTGATGAGAGCATGATCATAATATGAGTATGAGAAAAGAAAAAAAAAACCCACACAGTATAAGAGTGCAAGGATTTACGTGGTACAATACTTGCATGTGTCCATAGGCATGACAAATAAAAATCTACTATACCGATAAGAGATCTATCACATATTCTGAGATAGAGTTACACAAAAACAAGTCAAGCAACCCCTTTATACCCACTATCGCAACCGACATCACCTGTTGGATTTCCATCTATATTTCATACTAAATCACTGTTCACGAAGATTACCTTGAGAGCAACTGAGTCTTTTTCTCACTTAAAAGAAAATACAACACAAAACCTCCACACGAATCACTTCTTTACAAGAAACCAACCTATCACCCTGTAAGAGACACCATCGCGTTTCACTACATAGGAAGCTTATTCTATCTATATGAAGGCCTTGCCTCTTTGGAAGATTATTCTATCTATATGAAGGTCTCGTCTCTTTGCACAGGAGACCCCTACCTCTCTCTCTAGAGGAAGCCAACTTTCCCATATGATGACCCCCAATCGGGCACACTTACACTTTCCTCTCTTATTCCTTATATGTATGTATATAAGATTATGAATCTATACAAGATAGGAATCCCATTGATATTAGATATTTATCAAACTTAAAATAAATAACTAAGACTTTGAACTTTTTATTTCCTTTATCTAATTTTACCCTACTTAGAGTATTTCTATGGGGTCATGATATTGACTATCACAATCTCTAACATTACATTAGGATATAGCAAAACTATAAACAAGATCAAATTCCAGAGGAAAGTGAGGATATAACTACATACACATAGACTCAACAACGAACATAATGTTGGTTTCCACCACAATATTTCCATCTTAAATATGAAAAATTTGATACCATAGTTTGGATTTTAGCTGAAAAAGCTCAAAAATAGGTGCCAATATTGCAATGTATATGTGCTTCTCTCTCTCTCTC